TTGTTTAATGTTCCAGAGTATAAACTATTACTTTCCTATTATTGTTTAATGTTCCAGAGTATAAACTATTACTTCCCTATTATTGTTTAATGTTCAAGAGTATACACTATTACTGTCTAACATTCCATGGTATACACTATTAATGCCCTGTTATTGTTTAACAGTCCAGAGTATACACTATTACTTCCCTATTACTGTTTAATGTTCCAGAGTATACACTATTAATGCCCTGTTACTATTTAACATTCGTTAGTGTGCTATTGTTTGATATAGCCATTTAATCTTACAATTGGCTCAATATTCATCACTTTCTTCAAAGTGTAGATTGTACATTATCCAAGCTTAAAACCACGTCCAATAATAATGGTGTGCCTTTGTCAATTATTTTCATAAATTCTATGAGTAACAAAGTATATATCTTTCTTATGATATTTAAGTTTATATGCACTGATGAAATAGGATTGCACAGTCTTTACATATATTAAAACAAAATTTAGTTATGATTCAAAATAGCAAATAAAATAAAATACTAGATTTCTATTAAGAAAACAACATAAGCATCAGAAAATTTTTATGAAGAACCCTGCAAATAAAGGCTTTGAGTTATATTTCACAAAACTTTGTAAAAAATGCACTGAGTGGAACGTTTATATGAAAAATATTTTCAAGAAACCCACAAGCATTAAATCAAAATCTTGAATAACCATATTACTATTTTAGCCTTTTCAAGTGCAATTATAATTCCTAAATGTGTGTTATGTGTCAAATATGAAGCAAGCCACTTAGAAACAAACCAATTTCATGATTAAAACCAATAACAAAGACACTGAAGGTTAGTGCAAGTTACAAGAAGATTAAGTTACGTAACATACAGATTTTTGTCAGTCAATTTTCTCAATGCATTTGAAGAATAATGTATAAAATTCCATCTGTTTTGATTTTTTTATGATGAGTTATAAAATGTGATCAGAAATTTACATGAATTTTACCTACTTATGTATGGTTTGTTTGTTGTTAAGCACAAAGCTACAGAATGGACTATCTGTACCATAGTTACTGAAACCCAGTTTTTTAGTATTACAAGTTTTCAAACTTACTGCTAAGCCACTGGGGGATGGTGGTATATGTATGTACGTATGTATGAAGAGTGTAACGAGATGAAAACTTCATATTCTAAAAGGGATCATCTCAAAAAATATTTCAAATTATATATAAAAAATGCTGAAAGAGCAAAATGTACCAAAGGAACCTATTAAGAGAGAGAAAACCCCTGTATATACGAAATCTATTTATCCTGGCAAAATAGGTAGACATAAAACCCAAAATTGTGGATATGGAAACAGCACATGAGAGTACACATAACCCAAGGAAAACTGGTATATTTCTATTAGCAATGATCATACCAGCTAATTTTATGTCATTTGATTACGTGCTTAATGAATGACCCATCTCACCAGGGAAAACATTATTCAGGGGATAAAAAAATATGTAGCACATATGATGACTATTTGATCTGTTTTGTTCTGACAAGTTTATTTAACAATGTTTCCCTTTCTGATTGCTCAGGGCCAACCTTTCTTCCGAAACTAACTTTGAACGTGTCAAATTGTACAACTCTATCTTTATCAAAAAAGCAACTTTTATATACAAACCACACATGACATAAAAGACCTTTAAAAATTATCGTATTTCTGCCATCAACTTTAAACCCCCTCTTTGTGCCCATTCCATCAAGGAAATTTTCCCATTTAACTACAGAACAAAAAACCTTTTCAATAATTTTCTGTCATACCTGAACAAAAAGAACCCTTATATTACACATTAATCAGGGAACATAGCTCAAAAACAAACTTCTCTTCCTAGTTTTAGTTTTGCCCTCATTATACAAACAAAAAATGTTTACTAACCTATCAATTAACCTCTTCCAGCTGCTCACTAACATACCAATTAACCTCTTCCAGCTGCTCACTAACATACCAATTAACCTCTTCCAGCTGCTCACTAACATACCAATTAACCTCTACCAGCTGCTCACTAACATACCAATTAACCTCTTCCAGTTGCTCACTAACCTACCAATCAATCATCTTACAGATGCTCACTAAGCTATCAATCAACCATCTTCCAGTTGCTCACTAACCTATCAAGCAACCATCTTCCAGTTGCTCACTAACCTATCAAGCAACCATCTTCCAGCTGCTCACTAACATACCAATCAACCATCTTCCAGTTGCTCACTAACCTACCAATCAATCATCTTACAGATGCTCACTGAGCTATCAATCAACCATCTTCCAGTTGCTAACTAACCAATCAATCTCTTTTTCACTTAGTCTTCAACTTTGTAGTTTTAAGCATTGCATACACATAACTATTTCAATGTCTCATGTAACAGTTCTCTGTCATGACAAAGCCTCCTTAATTCTAACTTACCTAAGCTAACTGTCACTAATGGAAAGAACTACACTAACAGGCTGGAATGTCATCCTCAAACGAGATGGATGAACTCTGTTACAATCTTTCAGATGCAATACAAAACCTCCACTTAAAACATCTTTTAAATGAAAACAGAAACTACAATTGCTGTATATCTTGTTTTTATAATGAGGGACCTTGGTGCAGACACTAAGCCTTGCAAGTAAATGAAAAGTCTAGCAACTACTTAGACATTTCCTTATACAGTATTGTTTGTTTACCACTAAAATGTTATGACAGCTTATACACAAAGTCAGACAATATCTAGATAAAGAATTATAGATATAGCAAAATGAACATATTAACACAACATTTATCACTTTCATATTGAAAGATCATGCACAAATTAGGTAACAAGCTTGTTACATACAATATTCCAAATTTTTTAGAATAAACAGAACCCATCCACTAAATTTTTCTATATGAGATAAAGATTTTTGCAATGGTGAAACATCTTCCAATGATCCTCTCATCTTGTAGAAAGATATTCAAATGTTTGAATAAAATAGCATCTGTTTAGTATTGTCTACCATGAGAAAAATCAAGGAATCAATCTCAAGATCACAGATATGACTAACATGTCTTTATAAAGAACAAGGTAGAGTTGAACTTAACAGATCTTGCTTCTGAACATTAACATACTATGCTCTTTACAGTTTTGATCTTTAAAACTTAAACAAATGCAACTACTTTCAAGACTTATCATGAAATAATATTGCATTTAGGCAACTTCCATAGCAACAACATTATTGAAAAAACTGCAAATGACCTAACGTAATAGATTTTTCTATGAATTTTAATATTCTTTATTTAATTAATTAATCATTAGTTCACACATTGATGTACATAAGCAAAGTTATTGTATTTGTAGTTAAAACCTTGTGAAAAAAAATTAAGAAAGTCAGACAGTGAATGATTGTGCATGTTAAGAAACTGTTGATTTCTGAAATTCCTAGACACAACAGGGAAGAATTTAATTTTTCTTTACATCAGACTCTATGATTATGTATAAAAATGGTTTGAGCCATACAACAAGAGATGAACAGCTCACTCTGTAATGCTAGGAAAGCTGATCTGAAATGAGGTTTATTTTTCAGAAATGGCAGATTTATAAATAAACTGCCCTCTCAAGTTGAAGTCCACTCACTTTAACAAAATGTAAATAAGATGATAAATCGTAATTGAGAAAATACTTTATATATCCAACACAACCCAGAATGAATCCTAAAATTAGGCTTCTCAATATAAAAAAAGGGAAAGACTTTGTAGAAAAAAATATAGATATTGAAAGTTAACATTTACCTAAATTGAAAATGTATTTCTAATAATACTTACCTCTGCTGACATTTTAGCTATTTCTTGATCTTCAAGGTTTCTACCTTTTTGCCCACCTATGGCAATATCTAATTTTCAAAACTCTCCACCAACATCAATATGCCCTCTATCCAGTATATAATTATATGTATATAAGCACCTCATTAAGATAATTTAATCACTTTTTCAAGACTTAAGCCATTCCCAACACTAACACCGGCTCTTAGTGCGGAGGAAGGGCAGGAGAGTGTCAGCGGAGGTAAATATTATTGGAAATACATTTTCAATTTAAGAAAATGTTATCTTCCAAAACATACTTACCATCTGCTGACACTTTAGCTAGAATCCCACATTGAGAAGGTGGAGGGGCTGGTGAGGGCACTGTCCGTACAGAAAGCGTCTGTGTAGAATCTGGATGTACCATGATAAGAGTGGTACCCAAATGGGGGAAAACCAAACTGCATCCAGAACAGGTATGCTCTTCACCCACAACTAAATATCGATATCAAGGGTGGAACAGTACATGCAAGATAGCTGAGGTTCCACAACTCCGTGTTGGAATTAAGGTTCCTATATCCAATGTTGGTGGCTAGGTTTCTGGAACTCCAGCAAACAACAAGGGACAAAGAAAAGGGGCCTCCCATAATTCCCGGAGGGTAGTAGATGATAGATGAACACTCTCCAACAAGGCATCTCTACCCAATAAGTCCCAGCAACAAACAAGCCAGGAAACTAAGGAAAAAACTGAGGCCAACAATCTGATCATATAGGTCATTAGCAAAGGTCCCATCTCATCCTCAAGCTGGTGAGAAGAACACTGATAGGCTTCAGACAAAAGCTGGAGTGATGATAACTATCTCAGGACTGTCGTGAAAGCCAGAAAAATTCAAGAAAATTGTGATCTGTTTAAGGTGATCGCAGGTTCCATTCTGGAACCTCATATGTCCAAAAGGAGATCCAGTCAATGAAAATCTAAATATACCTCATCCTGGGAGTGAAAAGCCAAGGCATGCTGTTCTGATAGACATGGAGGACAAGGCATAGTTATCCCTTCATGTAACTGATTAGCGAATCTCCCAGCATGAATAGCAATATCTGGAGAAGGAGGAAAAACTAAGTAGTCACTTGCCATCCTTTCTGTCAACAAGGAAGGAGTAGACTCAAAAGCAATATGGAATAACCCCCAAACCTCACAAACTCATGTAACCAACTGAAGAAAAGGAGCAGGAGGTGGTTGATCTAGATTGTCTTCTGTCGAGGCCAACCTGGTAAATGAAGGACCCAGAAAAAGGGGAGTCCAATTCTCCCCAGCATATCCAGGATCATTTGCAAAAGCTGCCTCAGAACTCCCCGGTCTGTGTATATGTCTCCATCTCACAACGGATCATATCATGAACAGCCTCAAATGAGAGTGGTCCCTCCCCCGACTGTTGACAAATGAAAGATAGCAGGGGTGGAATAGGGGAGGTCTGGTTAGCCTCTGTGGTGGAAACATTAAATCAGGTATTCATGCCCAAAAAATGGCAATTTTTTTTAAATAAATGAAAATAAACTAAATTTTCACAGTATAAAACAGAAATCAATGTTGAAAGTCACAACTGAAAAACATTAATAATCACAGCACTCCTGTATAGAATCCCATGCCGAACACTTTGTTGAGAAAATGTGATTACATTATCTGAATGAGGTGCTTATATACAATACCTGGATAGGGGGCATATTGATGTTGGTGGAGAGTTTTGCAAATTAAATATTGCCAAGGGATTCAAGTGGGGTATAAAAGACTGGAGCAAGTGAGTTCAATGCATAGATGGGCAAAGAGGTAGAAACCTTGAAGATCGAGATATAGCTAAAATGTCAGCGGATGGTAAGTATGCTTCAGAAATAAAGTATATCTTTGAAGACCCTTATTTTTCCTCTAAATTATTAAATGTAGCTTTTACTCAGAATGCACAAAATGGAGATAAATATCTACAAGATCACAATCAAATGGTATAAACCTTCTAGGGATCTGTATCTACTTAACACAACAGCAGTCATCCTAAAAGTTCAACTCAAATGCACACTTGACATTGGCTCAAAACACACTCCAAGGGTACAGGGATGCTATTTAAAATTAATCTTTCTTCATCCCTTGTTCTTCTTCAGAGAAACACAGTGAAACATTAATCCTTTATTAATTATCTACAATCAATCTCATCACAGCTTGCAGAACTACAAAAGATTCCATGAGAGCAGGAGCTACAACATGATATTCTTAGGGTAATAACAACATCCAGAGTGTC